CATCGTTTGCTCTGCTTCATGAATAAATTATTTTTGGTTTCAGGCTGAGATAAAAAACCTGAAGCGTCTGATCAGAACCGAACCATTTCCGTTTAATCCACGTCACGATGACGTCACTCGACACGACGAGCTCAACTGAAATCAAACTGTTGGCGTAAATAACCGCTTTGATCATAATTTACTGGAGAATTAATTTTTCTGTTCAGAAACTGAAATTACAAAAAAAACAGCTTCTTTTAGGAACTGAACGTCTCGGTGGTGAAGCGGATTAAAACGTCTGACTGGAACCAGGCAGAGCTCCAAAAGAAGAGCCTGAATATAAACATGAAATTAATTCATTTAAAATTATTCAGTCGTTTAAAACTATTTCAAGTGTTTCTGCACCCGAAACCACAACAAACAAAACTTCACAAGTTCAAAACAACAATTCTTGTTTTTAAAAATATTTTCCCGCTCGTCCGAGGAGTTGGTTCAGTTTCAAAAATTGACGCTTTCAGAAGTTTTAACCGCTCGCCGTCATAAAAGGCTGGTCATGTTTTTTCTGTCTGTTAGCAAAATAAATCACTGGGAAGATTTAAATTAAAGTCTCAGGAAGACATCTTTGGAGCCTGATCCAAGATGGCTGCCGACAACAGCTGCATATAAAATATGAAAAACATAAAAATAAACAAAACATGAGCTGAAAGGAACAAATTATTTAATGATAAAGAACTGCATTTATAAAGGGAGTTGAATGTGGTGAGTTCTCCGGGCAGCCATGTTGCCATAAACACGAGTGGCCTTTGTGCCCTCGAGACGCTCCGAGGGTTCGGACATGAAGACCTTCGGGACGCGGTGGAGGATTGACGGCAGATTAACTGAAATAAATCAGACGCTGAGCCGTAAAAAAGAAGTGTTTGTGTTTCGGCTGTTTGTGCTTCGGCTGAGCTGCAGCTTGTTGGCAGCCGGCCCGTCGGCTGTTTGTGTTTAAGCTTCAGCAGCTAAACTGTGGTGACACTTTGACAGGTTCCCTCCAAACCAGGTTTCTTCCTCATCGTCCCCGTCACAACTGACACCTATTAAAGGTGTGTGTGTGTGACAGAGCCAGATGAGCATGCAGATGTTTCCTCTGTCTCTTCACCGACTGTCTGAGAAAGACTGACAACAGCTGGACCCGAGCCAGAACCACACACACACACACACACACACACACAGTTTCGAGAAGCGACAACGTTTGAGCCGTTTAAAAATGGCGCCCGTCAGTGCTCAGATAGGGGATGACCTTCGGCTACTACCACATCGGATTTTAGCTCATCTTATGTAACACTAACTGAGCTGAGGTCGACTGGCTGTGGCGGCCATCTTGAATGAGGCAGGCTCCAGCTTCGTTAATAGCGGTCCACAGGGATATTTTGCTAACAGACGTAAACGTGTGTTTGTTTAAAAGCTAAAGGGTGAGACAGGAAGTTACCATGTTGGTTTCCTGTTTCGGCTCACTCTTGCCCTGCATGCTTCGGTCACCTTCAGCTCGGTTGGTCTCTCCTCCGTCGGACCTGGAAGATAAAAAGCCGACAACGATGAGACGGCGTCGAAGGCTTCGGCTGTTCAGACCCGGCGGACGCGAAGCGGACTCTACCTTCGGAGAATTTTCTGCGTGAAGCGGGTCAGGTTTTGGGTCTCCTCCTGGTACCGGCGCAGGTCTTGGGTCAGCAGGTTACGGAGCGCGCTCAGTGCCTGCTCCTGGAACACGAGCTTCTCTGATTGGACCAAATGCTCCGCGATGAACGCCTGAAGCTCCCGGACGGCGCACAGCCGAAGCTAGGGAGGGACACGGAGACAAAACGTTTCAGTGACCGACAGGAGTCCAAACAATCAGCCCTGCACCACCGTGCTGACAGCTCAGGATGAAGAAATTCCACCGAGTGTTTTTGTGTCGTGTTTGTTGTGAGCTGAACTTTTTGTTTCAGTTCTGGTTGATAAACGACGACGACCCGGCGGGTCAGCTCGTCTCGGCTCAGAATAAAATCTGAACGTTCCGGTTCGCGACGAGAAGCTGAAACGTTTCGGCTCGTTTTCACTCACGGTGGAAGTCGGAAGGCCGGAGCTCGTCTTCAGCTCTTCTTCGGTCTGTTTCTTCTTCTGCTGCAGGTCCGACAGGTCGATGGTCAGCTGCCGCCGGCGCCCGTCGATCTCCCCGAGCCTGACGCCGAAACAAACAAACTGAGTTCACGCCATGCAAAGCAGCCGAAGCATCAGAACAAACTGGTTCATTTCAGCTCTGTTGGTTCGACTGGAAACAAATGAGCTAAAATTCAAGTTAGAGACTTTAGTTTTCTAATAACGAGCTCACACAGAGCTGGCAAACAGCTGAAATGTACTGAAGGGACTGAAACCAAATAAGTACAGCTAAAATAGCAGAACAGCTAAAAGAACCAGCACTTCAGCTGTAGGACTTCTGACTGGAAATGATGGTCGTCTTTTGTCGACCCCCTCCAGTTTGCTGCCCTAATCAATCAGTGATGATGTGGAGCAACAGCCCTGCACCGCACTCTGCACCGCACTCTGCACCGCACTCTGCACCGCACTCTGCGCAGCTGAATGTCTCCTCTTCCTGGACCACAGTTCAGCTGTCAGCAACATCCGCCCAGGAACACTGAAGAGAAGCTGACAGACCTCAGTGTCCCAACTCCCACCTGTAACTGGATCCTGGACTTCCTGACAGACCACAGGTGGTGAGAATGGGAGGACGAGTGTCTGCTGAACTCACAGTCAGCACAAGAGCCCCACAGGGCTGTTGTCTCGGACCTAAACTCTTTACCCTGTGCACTTATGACTGCGTCTCCACCCAGCACAGCACCACCATTATTAAATATGCTGACGACACAACTAGGGGTTCATCCAGAAGGGGGCCGAGTCACGAGTCCAGGTACAGGACTCTGGTAGACCACATTATGAGCTATGGAGAGAAAAACGACCCCATCTTCAATATAAAGACCAAATAAATCGTGCTGGACTTCAGGAAGAACCCTCCTCCATGACAGCCTCTCATCATTAAAGGACTGACAGCCTGAGGTTCTTGGTTCTGCAGGTGACATCAGACCTGAACTGGTCTCTCTTCACCACAGCTGCAGGGAACAAAGCCCAGCAGGCTTTACTTCTGCTCAGGGGTTTGAACCAGCGCCCTCTCACCCAGGAGTATCCTAACCGCAGGCACCACCGTCTGGTCTGAGAACACCACACAAGCAGAAAGGAAGGTGCTGCAAGAGTCATGAAGACTGTGGAGAAGATCTCAGGGACCAAACTTCCTTCATGACTCAATGTTTGAACAGAGCGGTGGAAGAAGAAGCAGGACTCATCCAGGACTCACTCCATCCAGGACTCACTAAATCCAGGACTCACTCCATCCAGGACTCACTCCATCCAGGACTCACTCCATCCAGGACTCACTCCATCCAGGACTCACTCTCTCATCAGACACACATGTTCCTCTGACCTGAGACACAGCAGAGTGGATCATCAGCCTGAAGACAACACTAAAGTACAGGTGATAACCCACACTGGTCATGTGACCTGCTTTACTTCCTGTACAGACAGAAACACTGTTCTCATTTTATTGAGTGTTTGTCACTGAGAGTTCTGCACAACAAGCCTGGATCGTTCTGCTCGTTGTCTCCACAGGGAGGCGCTGACCCTCTGAGGACGAAGAGGCTGAGAACCTCTGATGAACTCATCATCATCATCATCATCAGAGCAAACGAAACCCACAGACGGTCGAGAGAAAGAACTCAAGGTTCAGTTAACGAGTTCATCAGAGGCTGTGAGGAGGAGGAGCTGCTCTTCATCGTTCAAAGATGTTTGGTGTGAAACCATCTCGAACCTTCAGCTCAAAAATAAAAACTTCTTGTTGTTCTGAGGATCGAGGAAACTTTTCTGTTCCTTTGAACCAACTGACCAAAAACAACCGGGAGGTAAATTTGTTTTGTCCCAAACCTGACCGATCGTTTTATTGACAATTATTTTAATTAAGGAATTTGTGTTAAAATGTTTGTTTTTTGGACCACGTCGTGGTTTTGTTGCTGCCGGTCGTAAAAAACATTTAGGTTCCAACATCTGGACGTTGAGCAACAAAGGTTTGATACAAACAGCTGAAACTGAGGAGGACAGCAGCCGAAGACCGGACACCACCAGACTCCAGGGTCTTCTGGGTCACTGGAGGGAGGACGTCCAGAACCTCTGGACCAGAGCTCCACTTCAGATACAACCAGAGAAACCACGAGGTCATTTCTCTAAAAATCCTGCAGCTGCGCTGAAACCTGATGGACCGGACCCCTGACCCAGGACTAGGATCAGGACCAGGACTAGGATCCACCGGCTGGAACACAAAACTCTTCATCCTCCAGTTTCAGAAAACACGAACATGAGCTGCTCTGACACCTGTCAGTCAAAACTGAGCCGACCAATCAGACGGCTCCACTACAGCAGTGTGTGTGTGTGTGTGTGTGTGTGTGTGTGTGTGTGTGTGTGTGCGTGTGTGTGTGCATGTGTGTGTGTGTGTCTCATCCATGTGAAGATGAAAAGCAGAAGATCCTCCCTGCAGGGTGGAACAGTCTCACACACCCTCTGCCAGCTGTCAGCGGTTCTGATGAGCTGCTTACGCACAGAAAAGCGTGCACAGGGCTCCAGAATCACGTGCACGCAGGTGAGTCTCAGCTCGTCACGTGATCCTCGCCGCTTTTACAAACAGCCGAAGAATTTGATGGACTCAGTTTCTGACACGAGCAGAACTTCGGCTGCGAGGAACTTTAAACGTTTCCTGTTCTGGTCCAGACGGCGCCGAAGTGTCTGATGTTCACGTTCACAACAACTAATCGACTCGTTTGAACAGTTTCACTGAAGCTGCGCTGCTCAAACTGTAAAACATCTGGATCACAGCCGGGCCAGAACTCGACGAGCGGAACCGGAGTCCCCCGACGATTTAAACATGTTTTTTCTGGTCTCACACTGAACAGAGAATGAAGTAAACCTAATGTTTTTATACAAGAAGATCAAGGGCAGGAGAACAGGGTGAGCAGTGGAGGAGCCAGGGGGTGGCCAGTGGTGGCCTTGGCCCCCACAGATGGATCTTGAGCCACCTCAGTCATTAGAAAAAACTGTCACTTAAGAAAAATAAAAACTAGAAAGCAACGTTTCCTCAAATGATGGGCGTGGCTGGTTGACTATAAACTTATGGCGGTGGCCATTTTGGATTTTGATGTAACATTCCAGTGATGTCATCACTCCCCACAATGGAAGTCGGTACCTCTTTCTCACAACATGGTCGTTTTTCCAATTCCCTCTTTTTGCTCCGTGGTGGAGACAAAATAAATAAAAACAGAGAGAGCCGAACATTTACATGTTTGGATAAAACTGTATAAAAAATAAACACATTTTTAACATTCCCCTTTTCATCCTTGGAAAAACAGCTGAACGGCTTCTGAGCAACGAAACTGAAACTTCATTCTGTAATTTAAATACATTTACAGATCTCAGCCATGTGTCTGTTAGCAAAATATGAACCTCTGGATAGATTTGAACTGATTTCATTAGGGGATGCTAGCTAGCTTAAGCAAATCCTATAGTACTTTCAATAACAAAGCCCTGCCTACAGCTAACTCCCGCCCATAACCCCGCCCACAATCATCTCCCGCCCACAGCCAGCTAACTGGCTGAGAGTCACAGCATGTCACGTGACATTTTAAGTTTCAACATCCTGAAAACAGCTCCAAAAACTACACAAATCAACAAATATCGCCACCTAGACAAAAATGTAAATTACATGTTTATTATTTTTATCTGTTAGCATAGGGGCGGGGCCTAAAACTGACACTGCAGTCAGCCACCAGTCAACGCTCATCATGCTTTGTGGATTCAGCTTCTGGCTTCCTGTCCGATTTGTGGATTCAGCTTCTGGCTTCCTGTCCGATCTCTAGTTACACTCAGCTGTTGGGGGACGGGTCGCCATGGTAACCAGAAAATGGAGGATGAGCTCATTTCAGAGAGAAATACTCTGTTCGTCGTTTGGTTAAAACTGATGTTCTCCAAAAACCTGTCCGTGTCTTTTGTGCCTAAACCCTTTAAATAACAACAAACTTTCATCACGCCCACGCCCCGGGAGCTGCAGCTCCTGACGGTTTGTTACGTGGCTCAGAAACCAAAAACAACTTCTCACCCTGGAGCTCTCGAGTCGCTCCCGACAGATCCTATCACAACTCCAGACGTCTGGACCAGAGCTGCATCCAGCGGTTGTTCTCGTCACATAAAATAAATGACATTTAAATGAATACTTAAATGAATTTAAGATACACATTTTGTTCTACATGAACTCACAGACGGGCCGGGCTGAGCTGGCCTGCTGACCCGGTGTGGCCCTCGCGTCAGCACTTGAGGGGCCCTGATGTAAAAGATCTTTACCTCTGCTGCTCGTGTCACATTCACGCACCTGTTCCTGAGCTTCCTCTGTAAATAAATAAATGCAGAGCCTTTATTTTCAGCTGGTCCAGGGTCAGTGTTCTGCTCAGGGGCACCCGGGCAGGAAAAGGTCCAGAACTTCAGACCCACAACAAACCGATCCCTGGATTTCTGACATTTAAACAGATTGAAGAGCTCAGAGGAACCGATCCAGGACTTCATCCAAACTGTGGATCCGCCAGTCGGTCCTGGTCCTGAGCTGAAGTCCGGTTCCAGAACCAGAACAAACCAGAGTCGAACACCTTGAATCTGCTCCGTTGGTTCCTGAGGCGTCAAAATGTTGGACTTTCTGACTCTTTTAGTTTTAAATTAAAGTTTAAATTAAGCTATTTTGAAGTTTGTTTTAATTTATTTATTCTGTAAAAAAAAAATCATATTTTTCACCTGAAGAGTTTTTAAAGATTTACTCAGATTTCCAATAAAAACATCGTTCTCCGTTTGACTTTGTCATGTTATAAGAATCTTTTTATATGTAAAGATAATAAAGATTATTCACCTAAAAATCATTCGATTAATTTGTTTTTATTGTAAATTTAAATTTAAAGGTATTTAATAAATTTACACATTTACAAAATTTATTGTAAATAATTATTCTTAAATCTTAAGTTTGTCCTCAAATTTATGAAACCCAGAACCTTCATCTGCCTGAAGAACAATGAGAATAAAACTAATGCTAATGCTAACTGAGCTAATGCTAACTGAGCTAATGCTAACTGAGCTAATGCTAATAACTGAGCTAATGCTAATAACAGAGGTAATGCCAAGAATGACGCTAACAATAGAGCTAATGCTAAAAACTATGCTAACCAAACTACCATAATTATCGTTATTGTTAATATTTACATTTATTTAGTCAATTATAAAATATTACTTGTTACAGCACACCTGCTTTTGCACAAATAAAATCAGTTAATACAGTTTATCTTCATAAACATTTGGGCTTTATTTTATTTTACACTGTGCTGGGGGCAGCAGCCGAAGGCGGAGCATTTCACAGCCGAAGGCAGAGGATTTTGCAGCCGAAGAAGGAGGTGCTGGAGCTCTGACTTACTGCTGCTCAGCGGGCACTCTGAGCACCAAGAGATCTCTGAGATCATAAATTTTATTTTCAAAGTTTGAAAAGCAGATGAGGGCGATTCAGTTCAAGAAAAACAAAGTTAAAGCCCTAATGCAGGAAACTTCGACAGGAAGTGATGTCATCACTGTTTTGGCAACAACTGTTCAGTAAACGTTAGTCGTGTTCCTCCAGCTGACGGATCACTTTCTATTGATCAGCAGATTTCAACCCTCCTGCTGGCCTTGGGTCAAAACAACCTTTACTGGAAGAGTTCCTCCCCGAGTCGTGATGATTCACGTTCAGTCGACTCAGACGATTCAGGGACAACAATCAAATCCTCGGTTGTTCTTCAGCTCCTTAAAGCCGAGAAAACTCCCCGTAAACGAAAACAAGGTGACGTCTTCCCTCGGTAATCTGAGGATTAAGGAGCCGAGGAGGGGGATCATCCTGGAGATACTCTGCAGATTTATTCATTTATTAAAGCCTCAGATCTGATCCGAGGTCAGAACATGTCGGTGCTGGTACCGCTCAGAACGTCTGACAAATGACAGATTATTCTTGGAATATGATCAGAGCGAAAACGTGCGCGGCCGCACCTGGAACCCTGCGACGCGTTTCAACTCGTTGGTGGAAAAGTGAAACCAGAAGATGAGAAAATTCCGCCTGCAACCGTTACGACACGAGCTACAAGAAATGTTCACACGTTTTCCAATGGCAGCTGTGGCTGAGAGGTTAGAGAGGTCATCCCCGGGAGAGTTGGGGGTTCAATTCCACCAGCAATCACATGTTGAAGTGTCCCTGGGCAAAAACACTGAACCCCTCATTGTCTCTGATGTGTGTGATGTGTGTCCCATCGGTGTATGAATGTGTATAGTAGAGTGCTGTATGAATGTGTGTAGTAGAG